CGGGGTTTCCACAGGATTCGTCTCGGGTTCCGGGAAATTCGGGGCGGGTCCTGTCACAGAGAGGGAGGTCCAAATCGGACAATATCGTGCTACGGCGGAGCTGATCGCAGGATGTGATACTATGTCCCCGTCTGGTACATTTATCATTCGGATACCCTGTCACTGAAGTTCCATGTTCCTTGAATTAGACATACTTCACAAAAACTCCAAATAATATATATTGTATGAATTATTGCACAAATTAGACATTTTTGACTTGAAAATAGAGAGAGATTTGTAAATAGAATAAACCCATGATTTTCACATTTATCACAAAATAAGAACTTTTAGAACATATTACATAACTCACTCTCCATGATAGGTATGAAATATTGCAAGACAAACACACACTCTTCATCTTGTTTCTTTTTCTTCCTTCTCTCTCTCTCTCTCTCTCTCTCTCTCCCTCCCCTTCCTCCCCTTTCCCCCCCTTTCCCCTCCCCCCTTATCTTAAAGGATTGGAATGAATGATTGAAAGTAAGGAAACATGATACTTATAGGAGAGGATATGCATGCACCCAAATAATATTTATATATACAATATTTGAAACCACCAAAAAGATAAGATAAAAATGTAAGGGAATAATGTGACTCATCCCCCTTTGGCCAATGATATCACAACACCACCACCAAAAGATAAGATAGAAAAATGAGGGAATAATGTGAGTTATCCACCTTTGGCCAATGATATTACAACACCACTTGTTACTAGCATGCAAGGTGGCATGGAAATGATGATTTGATTAAAACCAATTCTAAGTTTCTACACATGGATAACAAGAATGATGTCATCTTTCAACCAAATGGATAATCTCATGCTAGGCTTAAGATTTAATAACATATAAATCTTCACAGTAAATATTTAAATAAGAAAAATTCATATTAATAAATAATTTATATGTAGTATGAATAATTATTTAATATATATATATATATATATTACAGGTTCTCACACATACATTGTAATCACCTAAGCTCAAACTTAGTTTAAGAATAACTTCTATAGGTGTTCTTATCTGGCTACATTCTAATGGACAACAATGTGTTTGACAAAGGTAAATTCTACATTGCATTCATTAAATTTTTGAAGATTATGACAAGTCATATTTCTTTTGTTTGACTAGTCAACCTTTGCATAAGTAGGATTTCTAGCCTACTGGTTTCCAGCTGGATCCTAACCATCTTTTTTGGGCATATTTTGCAAATTTCTCAGCTACCATGTGTACTATTCTGACCTAGGAATTTTTGGGTAAAGGCCAAAGAATTCGTCATTTGGCAGCCGTCACTTTTGAGGGGAAGTTTTGAAAATGTTTCTTCAATCCTTTTGCTTCTTCTTCCTCAAGAGAAAACCACCTTTTTCATCTTTGAGTTTTCCAAATTGATTTTTCGAAAACTGCATTTGAAATATAAAATCTGCATCTAGCTAAATCAAACACTCTCTTATATATATCTAGGTCAGATTCAAAATTGATTTCTTCAAGAGTATGGTTTCTTGAAGAAATCGGTCATTTTTCTTTGAATCCAAATTTTGGCTTCTATCTGAGTTTAAGATAGTTAGCTGGTGCCATGGGATGAAAGAGCTGAAGAAAGAGCTACCATTGCCACGAAGGACTAAACTGCTGGTTTTACTAAGTTGGAAAAAAAGATTGCACAAAGGAGGTATAGCTCATCTTCCTAAATAGATCTAAGATTTCTTGAGCTTGCTTGTGTATCTTTGTAAGAATATTTTTGCTTAGTAAATTGTCTGGTCGGTTGATAACCCCCAGTCTTTCCCAATGGTTGGTTTCTGTTCGAACAAATTCTAGTTAGCATCTCTGTAATTTTTTGGGTTTGTGTTCTTGATAGTTGACTAGTCATCGCATGATGTTCATGTATTTCTAGGTTTGTGTTCTTGCGGTTGACTAGTCATCACATGATGTTCATATGTTTCTAGGTTTGTGTTCTTGCAGTTGACTAGTCATCATTATCTGCTAGTGTTTACTTGATTATAGTGCCTTCACACACTTTCACCATAATTGTTACTAGCATAGGAGACGCCTATATTGACGGGTCCTTTTGAGTGCCTATAGGTTGTCACTAGTAATTCTCTAGGATTGTAGGTACATATTGGTGTGCTCTGTGTGTGTTCTTGGTTATGGTTATTCATGACTAGCAATTGACTAGTCATAAGTATATTTGGTCAAGGTCTAAAGTGTGTGTGAAGATTGTTGTGTTTTTGTTTGAGTGTCTTTCAATTTTACCCCTTATCACCTAAGTACCAATTTCTTGGTGCATGGCCCTAAGTTGCACACATTTTTCAAAAAGCTTTCCTACATAAACGGAGAAAATACTATAAATACCTCGTGCATCACACCAGCCATATTGGCGGGCCTAGGGATTTTTTAGCGGAGGTGCAATTTTGAAATGTAAAAAACTCTTTGTGTGGATTGAACATCTAAGGTTTTTTTTTTTTCACTTAAATTGACTTTAGGTACCTTCATGCATTCATATCATACATGAAAATTTGTTTTATGTAAAAATATTGACTAAGTATGAAAAATGGTTTTTCGGAATAATCATTTTCTCAAAATAATTTTTGACGGCTTTTATTCCTTACACATCAAATAAGAAAACTTGATTTTATGGGATTTTATTATGAAGTATATATTAACTTAATGCGCCATCATTTTTGGCCTAAATCGTATTTTTCACCAAATGTGGGGTACTTCCTTATTTACATTGTAAACTTAAGTAAATGTTGAAAATGAAAAAAAAGGTAATCTATACACCTGGAGTGCACCACCACAAGCTGAGCAAAAGGGCAATTTGAAGCAGCTACAATGGTTTTTTCAGCTAAAGAAAGTGCAGTTGCACCTCCTTGCACCTTAATAAGTCCGCTCCATCCATAAAATCTCTGTTCACGATTGATTTTGACTGGACCAATTAGTGCTGGAGATAGAATGCTTATCTAGGAGCTGATGATATTTCACAATTGATCTACCTTTTGTTTTTATTATATTATGGGTTAAATAATTCACATGGTGCTCCATTGGTACAATCCATTGCAATAATGTTGTTTGGGTCGTCACTAAGTCCGTGGAACATCCAAGATAATTTAGTCCCACCCAAACTTTCAATTATTTTGATGTCGATGCATAATGCGTGGTAGCCTTTTGAGATTAGGTATGATCATGAAGCACTAAGCTACTTACTAACTAAGTGTATTCAATTGAGATTTTAATGAATTGTTTTGAAATTTAAAAGTACAACAGTATTCAATTAGGATTTTTAGATAATCAATAAAAGTCTGGTGGTATTCAATTATGATTTTTAAATAATCAATATAAGTCCGGTGCTATTCAATTAGGACTTTTAAAAGGTAAGAAAAAGTACCGTGGTATTAAAAAACTTACTGATTTTAATGCATTTCATTGAATGGTGTATTGAGTGAGACTTTTGAGTGTGTGATGTAGATACCAAATCACATAATAAATCTCACCTTCCTATGCTTGATTCTCATATATGCTCTCTTACTTTTTTTTTTCCTGCTATTTTTTCATGATTTCTACTATACAAAAAAAATAGATAAAACCTTTTATAAGAGAGACAATAAAGACACATTAACAAGAGAGAAGATATTGCCTCTTCTGGAGTTAATGGGCATTTTCCAATGACTCTTCTTTCCTTGTAGACAAGCTTCTTTGGAGCAAAATTATCTTTTCGGTACTTTTTTTATATTCAGAATCTCCTACCCTTTGGGGATGGAAATATCAAAAGTATAGATGTTAAGAAGTCATCAGATAACATTAATTTTTCACAATCTAAACTCATGAACTATTTCAAAATCTGAACCGATGAAACAAACATTTGTCAAAGTGATTTTTCAAGAACAGATGGTGTAAAGGCATAACTGCTTTGGTGACACTCTAGACCACTTCACATATTCATGATGATTTTCTATCTATGTACATTCTTGATTCAGCTCTGACTTGCTCTCATGCCACAATCATGATATTTCCTTGTATATAGTGTAATGGTATATGCCTTCAGATGATGTATTTATGTGAATGATATTGGGTGATAGAGTTCAAGCTTGTATATAAATATAAGTAAAATCCTGTAATTGCAATCTATTAAAATCATAAGTAAAATCATGTAATTGCAATCTATTAAAATCACAAATAAAATCATATAATTACAAATCCAGTTAAAATCCATTACATTAAAATCATGTAATTAAAATCTATTAAAATCTCAATTGAATACACCCCAGCTTAATGTGAGCATGATTTGAAATAAAGCTTGATAGTTTATGCATCTCTTTAAGTTTTTATTCTGTGTTTGGAAAGGAAAACGCTCACCCGCACTCTAAAAATTCTACTCACAGTGTATTTTTCAGTCAGCTAGGGATGGAAGTTTGTACAACGAATTGAGAATAAAGGAAGTGCTTGCTAGCAAGCCAAGGCCAATTCTATGAGGATGGTAACTTCATGATCTCAAAGAAAAAAAGGAATAAGAAGATAATGTCATAAATTAAGAAAAGAGACAATTTAGTTAAAAGGGTTGGTAAAAGGAAGAGAGAGAAGTTACAGGCAATTCAGGTTTTTATTATAGCTCTCATCTCAGCAATATGTTTTGGAATTTTTGGAAAAATAAACTGACTATGAGGGGTTGTGGTTGTTAGCATTCCTCTTTATTTTAGGCTCCAAGCATCAGAAAAATGTGACCCAATTCTACTGGGGGGTCTATTGTTTACTTCATATTACTGTATTAACTTCTTAAATGATTACATGCTTTTTAATATGAAAATCTTGAACTCATAACATTCATAAATACCGAAGACCAACTTTATTTCACATACTACATACTTTATTTCATGAGCCACTAGCTCCAACCACACAACAAAGTTGCAATAATTATACACCACATAACTCTACCGCTCACAATACACGGAACATTACCATGAACAAGAAGTGAACCAATTATCGCCCATCTCCAAGAGGCGTGATTTGAATAATGCTGCTGTCTGCACCATCGCCGCCATCACCGTCACCTCTAATATCCACAAGGGAAGCACTTGAAGCAGATGACCCAACCAAGTTGCCGGTATCCTTGGGAGGTGGAGAGATATTAGCCTCTCCTCCACTTGGATGTTGTTCCATGGTTCGCACTAATCCTTGGAGCTCCGCGGCTACTTCTTTCATGGGAGGTCTTTCCTCTCCTTTTACCCTTAAACATCTTTTTGCCAGATCTGCTGCCAATTCTGCTGTCTTAAGATGTCCCTCCACTAATTCTTGATCAAGAATTTCATCCCAGAGACTACTTTCCACCTTGAAAACAAAGGCATTTGCTAGGTTTCTCTCTTCCTCGGGCTTTTCCAAAGATACTGCCTTACGGCTCGTGAGTAGCTCCGCTAGCACAACTCCAAAGCTATAGACGTCACTCTTGTCTGTAAAGGTGTTTGATTGAAGGTATTGAGGGTCTAAGTATCCTTGTGTCCCTTGGACTAAAGTTGATATTTGATTCTCATCTTCAGGAACCAGTCTTGAAGCTCCAAAGTCGGACACCTTTGCCGTGTAATTTTCGTCTACTAGTATATTTGTTGTTTTCACATCTCCGTGTATGATTGGAGGAGATATGGAATCGTGCAAGTATGTTAGTGCGTCTGCTGCTTCTGCTGCTATCTTCAATCGTTTTGCTAGTGACAATCCTTTTTTGTTTCTTCTATGAATGTGGTCATAAAGAGTGCCAAGGGCAATGAACTCGTAAACCAATATTGGTGTTCGGGTCTCGAAACAACAACCTACGAGTCTCACAACATTTTTATGGTTGATTTGAGAAAGAACAATCAGCTCGTTAACAAATGGCTCTGTCGCGGTAACTGGGCGGGTAATTGGGGGACTAAATTTTGACTTCTTTATGGCAACCGGTTTTTTATCTAGTAATCCTTTGTAAACAATTCCATACCCCCCTTCACCAACTTTTTCTTTTGTGGCCTCCTTAACTTCTTCTTCAGTAAAGTTTCTGGGTGTTCTTTTCTCAGATCCAGGAATTCTAGCTAGTTCCTCCGTGAAATGTTTGCCACCATTAGCTTCAAAGTATTTTCTTTTGAGTTCTATGAACTTTTTTTTCTTCATATCGCGATATTTCCAAAAAAATCCAACCAGTAAAACAAACAAGCTCAAAGACGTACCTGCATGCACAAATTGAAAACCATACTCAAAGTTGATTAACTATGCATATGATATGTTGCTTGTGTGTTGAAACTTGAATGTTTTGTATGGCCTACATACGTGATTAATAATATGTAAATAGCTAGCTTTAGTACATACATACATACGTACCCAGCGAAATTTCCAAGGATTTTGCAACAGGATCTTTGATGCACGTAACCTTGTTGTCTTCTTTGTGTTGGAGTTTGTAGCCAATATAGCAGGAACAAGTGTAATGCCCAGGTTTATTTCTGCACTTTCCATTCTTACAGGGGTTCGACTTAGGATCTCCGCACTCATCAATATCTGAAAGAAATAGGAAAACCCACATATATATATATATATATATATATATATACGCTTGTTTGTGTGTGTTAATAATTAATTAAATCAAGGAATTTTAATTTATTTCAATTATTTATCTCCAAAGGTAAAATTGACGTAAAGAAATAAGTAATAAATGTGAATGAGCCTAAATCAACAAGAGAAAATATGTGTATGAATCCAAAAGCCAAAAAAATTTGGTACATGCAATATTAATAGATAAACATATATAGTGTTTCATAATTAAACACAAAATATTAAATTGTTTGTCCCTGGTAATAATGAAATTTTCAATTTGACTAGGTAATAAAATAAAAAGATAATATACCTCGGCAACTATCTTCGAGGTATGGGTTCCCTTGGTAGCCGTCCTTACACCGGCAAATGTAACCTGAAGGTTTGTCATGGCAGGTGCTATTTCCCTTGCATGCAAAAGTCTCCTTGTTTTGCCTTGCATTTTGACACGACTCCTCCCCAATTTGCCAATCAAGAACCAGGGGAAGCCGGTATGTTTTTTTGAGATCTTGAAAACTTGTTTCGCTGAATTTGAAGTGGCCCATTTTCACAATGAACGCAAAGCCGCAGGGGTTAAAGTCATGTACTTCCGTATGGTTGTTATAGCTTGCCACCTTCAGAGTCAGGTTATTCAGCAAAGGGGGAATATTTGTTTTGCAACACCCAATGCCAGAGCAAGACTCGTTCTTATCAAAGGAGTGTTCGTACTGAGTCGGATTATTTTTACATACGGAGATGCACCCGGTTCCGGTTGTGTAGCTTTGACTGCCCCGTCTACCGACAAAGAGCGCGTACGTGTCACAACCAACCGCAAAGAACCAGTTTTTGACACCAGAGATGGTGTAAGGAGGAATCAAACTGAGCCCGCCCCTGCTTTGGTCTTCGCCAATTGGATTACCTAGGGCATCATAACAATCTCTGTTTACTAACTGCCTTATTTGCAGCTCACCTTCTTCAAGGGATATGTTGGTGACAAGCATAACGGTTTCCATCAATCGGGGATTTGACCCATTGCAGGTGATTTCGAATCGTGGTCCGAAGTAACAACCTTGACCAATGCCAAATGGGTATGGAATTTCGATATTACCACATTTGGCTATGCAGTTAGGCTTGGCCATCAACCCGCCGGCTTTTCCATCGTCTGCTCCTCCTTCTCTTGCGCTTGTTCTTGTTGTTGCTGCTGCTACAGCATTTGTAGCCGCTAGTAAAAGTACAAGCAACATTGAAAGTTGCATAAGCATCCCATATTGAAAGGCCATATGTGTATACGCATGCACTGTATGTTATGCGTTAATCGTTTTCCTGAGGAAACTGAGGCACAGCCTGGCCTATTATATAGATAGGAAATGCCTTTACTATCCTATAATGATTATTTTTTGTCTGTTAACACTCATCCATCCTTTTTATTTATTTAATAAAAAATAAAAACTTGAAATCTTTTTACGATAATATGAGACTACGTGAAAATATTTGGTCGTTAAAATTGGTGACGAAGGGGCCTGGCTTCACTAAGACTTTCTTAATAGATAGCTTATTCATGTTAGTGATGAAGACTCTCGAGTCACAGTAATTGACCTCACTGTATAAAGAATGCATGCATGATATGCAGTCTACGCATAGATTAGCATCCACGTGGTTGTTCTGAACATATTGCTATCGAACGACATGTAGTCCGATGTCATCGCGTAAAGTCACTTTGGTGTCGTCATCCACCAGATCCTACGTGGCCCGTCTCATGTGCATGCATGTTTGGAGAGGACTTTTTATGTGCAACTTTGAGTACTAAAAGGGGAAAAAAGAAATCTCCTAATCCTAATGTGTAGGGTATATAATATTCCTCCATGAAGCACTGAATTGGTTGGTTGGAATAATATGAAGCTCCTCCTGTCCTTGTATTCAAATTTGTCCTTCACAATAATGTTGTTGCATGCAGTCTACCTCTGGGTCGTCTCTCTAAATTGTTGGACTTGGATGCATGGTCCAATTTAATTCTTTAACAGATTTTTCAGATTAATTATAGTTATGATCATGAGGCAAATAGGCCACAGATCATGCATTAAAAACGTTATGTTCTCTACTTTTTTTGTATACTTCATATGCCTTTTTCGCGTTTTATATTCTTTCGAAGATGCTCTAATATGCTCTATTTGATAATTATTTTAATTTTATATTACTAAAAAAAAAGAGCAATAATCACGTTTTATGTTGTTTTCTATTAAAAAATTAGTATTTACTACCTCCTGACTTAGACCCGACCTCTCAATTCTTGGCTTCGCCAACAAACCCAGTCCAAAGCCTTGAGACCTTCATATCCAAAATTCACCAAAACATCGTCCCACTTCCAAAAAAATCACCGAAAAATACTACAAACTCTTCGTAACATGCACTTTCATTTTATAATCTCAAATTCACAAATTGACTCCAAACAATTCCATTTTCGAGTTCCAAATAAAACTAAACTCAGTTACCAAAAAAACTTTTATTTTCAGTTTTCATTTTATTTTAAACTGAAATTAGTTATAAAACAAAGTTTTTAATTTTCAATTTAAAAAAAATGAAAAATAGAAACTGAAATGGGTATCAAACGGATGCGTAATATTTTAAGACCTCAAGACAGTGCAAAATCAAGTATATGTCCCGAAGCCTAGTTGATCCACTGGCTATGAAGTATAATTGATCAATCAATTAATTTTGTACATCTCTTTTGATATGATCACGTAGAACCACAAAATGTAACATTTCCCAAATATGCGAGTCTATGGAAATATTTGGCAGTGGTTGTTAAAATGGAAAATATTATGGTGATTGGACCACAAGATAAAATGGCTTCGCTTGACCAAGACTTCCTTGATAGATACAGCTTTTTCAGAATAGTAATTGTCACATCCCGGGATCGGCTCCGCCGTAGCATGATATTGTCCGCTTTGGGCCCCCCTTTTCTGCCATCACGGTTTTGTTCCTGGAAACTCACGAGCAACTTCCCAGTGGGTCACTCATCCTGAGATTGCTCTAGCCCTAACTCGCTTAACTATGGAGTTCTCATGACTCTAAAGCCAGTGAGCTCCCAAAAGACTTCGTTGCTAGATGGAGGCGGACATGTACATATAAGGCACATCACCCATTCTCCGTTGGTTGATGTGGGATGTTACAATCCACCCCCTTTAAGGGCCCAATGTCCTCGTCAGAATACTCGCACCACACAGTAGAGTAACTTTGATACTAAATTGTCACATCCTGAGATCGGCTCCGCCGTAGCACTATATTGTCCGCTTTAGGCCCCCCTATCTGCCCTCAAGGTTTACTCACGAGCAACTTCCCAGTGAGTCACCCATTCCGGAATTGCTCTAGTCCCAACTCGCTTAACTTCGGAGTTACCATGACTCCGAAGCCAGTGAGCTCCCAAAAGACCTCGTTGCTAGGTGGAGGTGGGCATGTACATATAAGGCACATCACCCTTTCTCCGTTGGTTGATGTGGGATGTTACAGTAATGGTGATGAAGACTCAAGTCACGATCACAGGCCAAAGTTGCTCACTCCTAAAAAGTGTGAATGATAATACTTAACCCACTAGAAAGAATGTATGCATTGTCGTTGATGATGAAGATGGAATTTGGAAGCTGTATATGGCTGCTGTTTAGACTGGTAGTTCCATTAATGTAATATTTTCCAGTCCAATTTCCTGCCATTGTTACTTCCTCCAAGGCAAGCTTTCCATGAGTCAAGTCTGAATTGAGGTAATCTTTATTTATTATTTATGGAATGCATAGTCAAAACGACCAAAATCAGAGCCCTTTTTTGCGGTAATTAATTAGCATAACAATAAGACTAGAGACATCAAATTGTTTCACGAAATGATTGCTTTTACTTTTATTCATGGATTGAACCATTCACAACATATAAGTAAAAGGAATTAATAAGCAAATTATGGATGGTGCATCGCCCTAAGTTGCACATATATGTTTACAAAAACAACTTGCAATACATGATAACCTCTTGCATCACACTAGTTATATATAGCGTTATTTTAAGAGGAACATTACCAGGAACAACTTTTCTTTTTTGTACTAATTAGTGACCAAGACCTCTTTGTGCACCAGATTCTTTCCAATGTACCTACAAAAGTTTTCCTGCATAACTCCAATCATATCTCCATAGAATCTTTGTTGATAATTGATGAAATGCTGGAGAAAGAATTCCCTCATGCTTATCTAAAGGGACGCGATCAAAGTGATTTTGAGATAGAATTCCCAATTCTGAATTTTTTCCAAATTCTTTCATTTTTTTAATAAAATTTTTATTACAAAAAATTGATAGCCGTTGAATGGAGAAACAAACCGAGATGTTCTAATATAATTTTCCATAACTATTTGAATTAATTGGCAAAAAAAATATAATCATGATTGATATGAAATTATTTTGGGGTCTACATGACGTGAATTAATAGAAAATTTGGAATAAGTCTAAAATTTAGAACATAAATTGGCTTTAATCCTAGCATTTGTTGCCATCAATATAAGTCCTTTAACTTTTCTGCAAAATAGGATTACATTCTTTTTAAAGTATTTTCGTATGTAGATCTATTATTATTATTATTTGTAAATTATATAGTTGCTTTATTATGTCCCTGAAGTATAAGTTGTGTATTAATTAATTTATAGGACCATAATTACGAGATTTTATTATGATTTTAATATAAGGTTATACATAGATTAATAAATTTCATAATTTTAGGACAATTTATTATTTTGGAGATACAATAAAATAATTTTTTTTATTTTTGTTCATCCTATGGTAGAGGTATATTATATACTCTTGTGTATATATATATATATATATATATATATATTATCCTATGGTGTAGGTATATTGTCCTATAGCCTATATTTCCCATTGCATAGGTATATATATGTGTTTTTTCACATTTTCGACAACGTGTAATAGTATTTTATGTACTTAAAAAAAAAATATATAGGTAATATACAATTTTATTTGTCTATTTTTGTATCTGACTTATAGGTAGTCTTCTAATTTATGTTCCTAACTTATAGGTAACACGATTTATCACTAAGTCTTTTTCGTTGCTAATAATAACACTATTTACTTATATGTCAGGTATATAATTTCATGTGGGTGCTTGTTTGATCGATTGGTATAATATGTGGGTATTTACTTTTGATTGATTAAATTGTATTTTTTTTCCATATATTAGGTAAATATTTTCAAGGAAAGAATTCAAAATTTAAATTCTGAAATTCAATTACAAAGAAATAATGCATTAAATTTAGATTTTCAATGTGTTTTCTTTATTCACCTCAAATAGTAAAATCAACACAACGAAAAAGTAATAAATATCAAAGGACCTACATCTAAAACAAAAAACGCGTGGACTAAACCCAATAACAATTAATCATTTTGGACCTAGATCTAAGAAGCCAAAATATTATATATGGTGATTGAACCTATACGATAAAGTGGCGTGGCTTTACAAAGACTTCAGATAAGATAAGTGATGAAGACTCGAGCCACAATCATGAGCCAAAGGCAAGGCTGCTCGCTACTAAAAAGTGTGAATAATAATTAACCCACTAGAAAGAATGCCGGCATTGTCGTCCATGATGAAGAATCAAGATGGAAAAAATTTGAAAGCATCTGGATGCTCTTAAGACTGGTAAGCATCTTGTCTGAATTGGGGTCGACTTTTTTTAATGCTCTACATGTTTTGTAGAGCTTCATACTTTCTCAGTGATCATGACATTGGCATTGCACAATTCAACATGATTGTCCTCCTCCAGCGGTACAAATTTGTCTGTTGCAATAATATAATAAATTGCGCAGTTTACGTCTGGGTCGTCTCTAACTCGTTGGAAGTCCATGAACTACATCCAATATAATTTAGTCCCACCAAAATTCCAATAATTTGGACGTGGATACATGCATGCATGGTCCAATTCATGCACAACTTTTTCAGATTAGTCATGATCAAGAAGCACTAAGCTGCTCACTACTAAAGCTTAGTGTGAACATGATTTTTCCTCCTTAATGTTCTCACTTTCTTTTCCTCCAATTGCATTGTCCAGTTTTTTGGAGTGACCAGCTTTTGTAATATGGCAAATAAATAGAGTCACAATCACGGGCCAAAGCTGCTCACTAGAATATCTCAACGCAAAAAAAAAAAAAAAAAAAAAAAAAAAAAAAAAAAAAAAGTAACCCCAAAAAAAAAAAAAAAAAAAGACAAGTCGAGGAAAGGAAGAGAGAAAAG